CATAAAATGGTAGTGCGTCTTGTTCTATCCACCCTTCAGCTTCTTCAGACTCATTTTGTTTCAAATTACACTATGCGTTGAGCAAGTCACTTCAGACGGTGAAGGTTTACAACTAAACAGGTCTTTATTGCTCGAGCTGAGAATTCATCGAGTAAAGAAACGTTTGGACAAACAAAATCAAGTGTATCTTTTAAAGTTGTCACAATTCACAATGGTACACGAAGAACAAATGGATAGAATAAGAGTTGTATCAAAGTAGATAAAGTTGTTTGAGAGATAAACAGTCTGAAGATAAAGGTTAATGTGAATATTCAAGCTTTAGAAGATGCTAAGGAGTGAATACATTTGCACCATTGGGACCGATTTTCAGCTGTCACTAAGACTTCTCAATCACTGACTCCTATCATCTCCTCACATTGTTCAGACCAATGATCAGAAACTTCATTGTCCGGTGCGACCTCTCGATCCTGCCACCATGAACCCTCTTCCGATCTAATCCAACTCTCCCTAGAATGGCATGTCAAGGTATGTGGTAGCCGGACATGTGCAGTACATGTCCAAGCCATCTCAGTCGATTTAGGTTTACAATTTCATCAAATTGACTTCATTATCTTGTCTAGTTGGAGTTACTTTAAAGACCACTGGAATAGTCAATCAGGTTTCTCTATTTCTGCTAGAAAGATAAATTAACATAAAATAAAGAATTCTGATTGGCCATTTCAGTAATTGTTAGGGTAGCCTTTAGAGTCACACAAAACTTGAGCCCAGTATTTCAAGTATTTGAAATTAATGGGCTCTATCCTGATTCATTCAACGGAATTCCTTTTCAGTGGGGTAAACTGTTTGTTTGATCGATAAATTTGAGGAGTAGACCGTTTTTATCATGCTTTAGCTCTAAACATACATCCATATAAGCATACAGCTTTGCTACCCAATGGGATTTGTCAATGGGTTGTCAAAATGATAAATCATGACTTCATCACAAATGACTCATGCATTCATTCAGTAAAAGAAAATGGAATAAATTAACTAATTTCTCCTGTGTTTACGATCTACTTTATTATTACTACCTGTATATTATATTATATTATATTATTATATTACATTATATTATTATTATATATATATATATATATATATATATATATATAATATTATATTATGTACATTATGCAGAGAAGTGCTGAAAACAAGATAAGACCATATAAGTAACACAAATGTATTCATTTGACAACATTTTCTAACCATTACAAACTAACGCGAGTACAGTTAGTGAGTCCCTGGAATTTTGATCACTGTATATCAACAGAAGCTGACTTATGAGTTACTGAGATGTATTATAAACCCATCGTGAGATATTTAGCCCAAATAAGCAAAACATCTCATATAACCTAGATGATATGCATATTGAATAAAGTTAGATGACATTTACAGCTGAAAATCCGTGTCACTCAGTTTCAAGATCACAAACATTGATGTTATTCTATGAGTATGAATTCCCCACTAGTCCAATGATAGAATATGAAAATGATTTACTTCTAACGTGCCAATATAATCAGAGCAACCATTCAGTATTGGATAGTAATGAATATTTTCCCTTTTCCAATGTTCTGAACCATCACAACAAAGCCTATCATCAGTTCAGTAACTTTTGTTTTTATAGTGACTGTGATTCTACACTAGATACCATTTTGCAGTTATAATGACAACCATCCTAGCAACTAACGAAGATTGACTCTGATTAAGTTTAAAGGCCACTCTAGTAACTACTGAGATAGCCAATTACATTTCTGCCATGTCAAAATATCGAAACCTGATTGGTTATTGCAGTAGTTGTTTGGGTTGGTCTTAACATCACTCCTAATTCTAAAAACCAGCCCAAAGATCACTGAAAAAGCCAATCAGGTCTTTTTACTTCGGTTAATAAGGTATTTTTCAACATGAACTAACGAAATATGATTGGTTATTGAAGTAATTACTAGGTTACCTTTTAAAGATAACCATCATTTTCAAATTAAATCCATCTGTAGCATATCTTTATTAGTGTCTAATCCCAACTTATCTTAAAATGAGATGAAAGCTGAAGTAGGATTACGCCAAGAAAGAGTTAAGCGGAACAAATGAAATCATAGCACTAATTCACAGGTTGTTCAGGGTTACTATAATGAAAATGAAAAGAGCGCGAACCTCGTCAAAATCTCGAAACTTGCAGATTAGTTCAATAATCTCTAAAGATTATCTGCTACTTACCAAGAAGTACTTTTGTCCATCTGAAGTAGGCTGTTAATCACCAACTAGTATTACGAACAATAAATACAACAGTCATACAGTTAATTTTACATACTTCACTTTTTATCCTTACTATAAACAGAAAATTACTTATTTTAAGGTTTGCTAGGAGGTTGTTCATTAAAGGACTGAAATCACTTGAAGAACCATTGGAAACCTGGGATTACTGAACAGCTATTTCGTCCTAGTATGTGACTCCTCAGCAGCACACACCAACTACTCCACCAAGGATTGACCTCAAGACCTTTAGTTCTTGTAGTAAATGAGTTAGCTAGTCAGTCATTGGGTCAGATTTCACTGATACACAGTTTTCTACTTCTATCACCCCGCGATATAGCAAAACTATCCACCATGGTTGGCTTCGGTTTCACTTCCAATTTGGTTTACCCCACACAGGTTACGGCTTTTCATTGGAACTTCAAGATATCCATCTGGAAGCATATACCTAGACAGTATTTAAGTTTATAGGTTTGGGGGGGTAGTTGATTTGTTTTAAGGTAGTACTCATCACATACTGATGAGGACTTCCATACCATGACGAAACAGCTGTTCAGTGCTCCCAAGTTTCCAATGGTTCTTCAAGTGATGTCAGTCTATGATGAATGAAAAAATTGTGTCTAAGATCAAATAAAATTATATTGATCCATTTAAACAAAATTTATTCCAACTCAAGGTCGAACAGCTAAGATATAAATTAAATTTCTTACTCTAGAAAAGCTTTATGAAATTTTGGGCAGAAAAGTATAGAGAAAAAGGAGTTATACAACCACAAAGTTAACACTTAATTAAGAAAGGCGCTGATTATGCATTTAGAGCAAGAATAATTATCATCTAGCCTCCATATTTATAAGACTAACTGAAACTCAAACAACCGGGCAACCAACTTAACTGGCAATTAGAAAAATAAACTCAATAATATTGACGTTTAACATGATAATCATAACCAGCATAGGTGAAGGGAATTTTGCTTAGGTCTATTGAATAACCAATTACAAGTGAGGCTTTTTTTCAAGTCGTTATTCATCGTAGACTGACATCAATTGGAGGAACAAAGGAAACCTAGGAGCACTCGACAGCTGTTTCGTCCGACTACTATGAGACTCCTCAACAGTGCGCACCCACGGCTCCGCCAGGGATCGAACCAGCGACCTTCAGGTTCCACAGCCAGCACGTTACCATTGAGCCACTGGATCAGAATCCAATAATCCATATTTCCAACTTTTGTTGTTGAGAATCTTCAATTGTTCTGATTGAATTAAAAGTGAAAAATCTTTTAACATTGATTCACTTGTTCCTCTTTCCACTTAACAATAACCCAGAAGACATTATTTTCTTGAAAACCTTTTTTTGGATAAAAGAATTCATGCTGAACAGTGTCAAATTGCTCTCAGAAAAAAGTTTAACATTATGAAATACCCCTAGTGTACTTCTCCCCAGCAAATGATAATGGATTCCAGCATGTTCATTAGAGTTACTTTGAGCAACACTGTCTGAAGATAAGAAAAACTGTTGATGGATTCTGCACTAACGTGAAATAGCCTTCACATTCCAGTAGTTAATTTCTTTAACCCAAACTGTAGTAAAACCATGTACTATATGGCTGTCTTTTCAGTATTTACATACAACTAAACTTGCATGCAAGTTGTTTACCATACCTAGAACTCGGTCTATATTTATGGCATACAAAAACGTCTAACCAAAATTGAAACGATACTGCCATGATAACTTAATTTTGAAGTCAAACCTAGCTACCCTCTTCCTGAATATCAATCAAGTATTTCAATCAGAGGTGATGATGATACCCAACCAACACCACCACCAACAGCAACAAGTTTCAATCACCATCAATGGGAGAAAGTTGAAGGAAGTAGCCTCTTTCACTTATCTAGGCAGCACTATTTCAACTACAGGAGGCACAGACAAGGATGTCAAAACCACGATCAGAAAAGCAAGACAGGTGTTCATTAGCCTGAAACCAGTGTGGAGATCTTCCGCACTCAGCATGTAGAACAACATCCGGATTTTCAACACCAACACCAAGTCAGTGCTTCTATGTGATGGTTCAGAAACTTGGCGCGTTACGAAAGGGATTTCTAACAAACTACAGATATCCATCAACAACCGCCTACGCTCACTCTTTACTGAAGATCAAATCAGATGGCCAGAATAATGAGAATAAGCAACAAGGAACTCTGGCTGGCTGGCAACGAACCAACGGAGCAAGAAGCTATCGCTGAACAAATATGCAGTGGAAGGAAGTGTAGATGGATCGGGGATACACTGAGAAAATCATTCGGGAGCATCACGTGCTAGGACCTCGAGTGGAACCCAGATGGGAAGCGACGAGCTGGGCGTGGGAGGTGAGGGTGACATGGAGGAGATCGTGTGAGGAAGAAATGAGAGCTTGTGGGCTGTCGTGGAAGCAGGTTCAAAAAATTTTAGAGAACAGAGTGCACTGAAGACATGCTAACTGAAGCCCTATGTTCCATTAGGATCCCAAGGGACAAATAATGAATAAATAAATTTCAATCAGCCGGTCTATTTCGAATCTAACTGTGAGTAAGATTTCCTCCCAACCACAAACATGATTGTCATATATAAAATATCAATTCCTTTAACAGTTTCAAAATCCTAAGGGGTATACGCCTAGCTATGTCATCGTATACATAGATTGAAATACAAAAAATGTTCCCTGGGTATTAGATACTCACGTGTCATTTGAATCAAGAATGGTGGTCTACTATCCAATTTACCAGCGGCATGTATAACTCGACAATGATAACTCCCCGTGTGTTCAATCCCAAAAACTGCTATACGCAAGTTTCCATTACTTCGAAATTCTGTATTAGGTAGACGCCTGGATACAAAATGCAGAAAAATAGAGAAAACGACAGATGTGCCATTAATTCTACTGATTTCCAATTATAGATTCTCATCTTTACACCATAAAACACATAAAACACATATTTTCACATTGTAGTGATAACATCTGTGCTAAATAATAACATCCCAGTGTTGTACAAGCTGCTAAATAGTTGTTTCTATCAAGATAAACGTTAGACAACTGAAATTTTGTAAAGTTAAAGCACAAAATAAAGGGTGCCTCTTATCTATGGAAATGCCAACAAACGATAAACAAACCGTCGTGTAATGATATTTTCCAAGAGTACATCAGTCCGTATAAGAAACTAAAGGAACTAACCTTAACCAGTCAATTTAAGATAAATTATTATGAGGAGAAGTAACACAAATAGACGATAACCTAATGAATATCCAAACAGGATCACGGTGTCCATACAGGAGACTATCTATTGACAGATGTCGAGCAATTTGACTTAGTATAGCAAACGGAAAGTACAAGTATCAGTAAACAAGAAGTAACATATTCCAACGATGTTATGCTTGCTAGCCTAAGTCAGAAACGCGTCCTGTTTCCAACTGAAAAGAATGTCAAAGGACACATTTCAAAACGTAAACTTCTTATTCCGTACAGTTAACTCATGAGGTTTCACTTAGAGTTAGGCTAGTTCTAATGTCATCTAATTAATGATTGACCTAGCTGAATTGTCACAGTGAATATCAAGTCAGTATTCAGAGTCTGGAACCTGAAGACAATAGGTTCGATTCAGCTGAAAGGCTGTTGTACTGAGAACTCTCAAACTTAGATGGTAAACATTTGTCCAGTGTTCCCCACAGTAACCAATGGTTCTTCATACGGCATCAATTCATAATGACTGCCACCTTCAGTCACACTTATTTTTCATAGACCAATGGATTATACTACTGGTCAGCAATCACGTTTTATCATATTCAAATGGTACAAATAAGTTTACTATTCAAGCTGAATTAGTACGAGTACAACTCAAATGATACTCATCTTGAACGAGTGGACAAACAATTAAGATACTGAAATATAAAGGTTACTCTAAATGATTTGTAAAACTCTTCACCTTTCAACACTAATCTCCACCATCTTGAAAACATTGTTCACCATACTACTGATTTAAAATTTATCCATCATACGATTTAAAAATACTGTCCCTTTTTTCCATATCAAACTAGTGTGAACAGTTTTAGTTAAATGTTACATGACTTTATAAAACTAATCACTTAGAAGTGGTTTTCGACACAGACCAACTGTTATTTGTTCTAAACATGACCAACAGTAGAAGGCAGAACAACAGCACTTGAAACTCGTCAGCTGGATATATCTGATACTTTGTGACTTTACTGGTTTCGAAGTCATTGATTAATTCAGTTAAGTAAGAAGAACAACGAGAAATTATTAAGTTTAAATGATAATAATTGATATCCATTGTAGAAGAGTCGTGTTGCCGACGAGTGGAGCTGCGAACGTGAGCGTAATGATACTGAGACTCAATAGACACCACAACTGAATAGTTTTACGACTGACCTCCTTCATTACCTTCTGCTTCACTGAGCCGCGTAGTAACCAGAAGACAAAGACGGCCTATAAACTGCAAGAGCGACTACAACTTTTATTAGGCAAATACATGACATATATGTATTTACAAAACTCTCAGAAAGTGAAGCCACAAATGAACCAATCCGATTTGTTGTATGAGGTCGAATCTCTCCATTCAGGTTCTCATGTCAGCCCATGCATAAGTCATGATCTGGACATGATCTGATCATGACTTGAAAACAACTCCCCTTTTGGCTGCCTTTTGTCGCCACATATCAAGTCGTTTATTGCATCTCATTTCGCTTGGTCAGAACAACGACCGATATATATATTGCAGCCAGTTGATGAGCTTCAAACGTGAGTCCAAGATCCTAGTCCTGGACAAAAATTGAAATTACGATAGTAATTAGTCCGTGAAAATACTGGAAACACTAAACAATGGACGCACACACGAAAAGGAGCCATTCCAATGTGTTTAATAAATGCAGAGGAAGATATTACAATGTTGAATACGAAAAATGCTTGAATTAGTTGACTACATTCCGAATTTTTAATATTTTTAGCCACAGCCAACGAAATGTTATATAATAACATGATTTATTATTCGATTACCACCGTTTAGCTATTGGTGAACTATGGATACCATAACCATTCGGGAGGGTTTACCTATCATCACACTAAACTGTTTTACATATGCGTATGTTCTGTAACTCTAACCCCAATTATAATCTCTAAATTAAATTACTTCTCATTACTCATTAGGAACGTGCCTCAAGATGAAATTTCTCGAATTTTTCAGTGAGGAGATATGATCTATGGGACAAACGAAGTCGGACATGAGGACAAATACTTAACAATGGAATTGGATAATAAACGACCTAGATAGCGAATTAACAGCTAGTGGAAAACATGGGTCCCTGGATTCCAACTCAGTCGTTCAATGGCATTGTGCTCACTGTGAATTCCTGGTAGTCATGTGTTCACTTCCCCATGGGATCATAAGTGTGCATTGCTGAGGAATCTCGTACTCAGACGAAAGAGCCTTTTGGTGCCCGCAGGTTTTCAATGGTTCTCCAACTGATGTAAGCCCCTCGTGACTACCAATTTGAAAATTCCTAGTGTTGTGAAACAACAGACGGGTAATTAAACCGTTACTGGTTACATTTCCTCTCTTACCTTTAGACAAGTTGCTCTGAGGAATAAAACTCCTAACAATTAGCCATTACAATGAAATGCAAGTAAGTGTAGGAAAGAGGAATGACAAAATGGTGAGATTCGGTATAGTGTAGTTAAGATGAGGATAATGTGTGTATACATCTGTGCCACTCACATCGGTTCTCAGCTATATCACCTAGAATCAGTCTCCAACCACTGGTCCCTCTTGTCCCGCTGACCCCAACCACCTAGTCTGCATCGTCCTACATGGCTTAAACCAACAGTCGGAGACTTCATACATTGGTGCCATGTTTTAGTCTGGCCACCTCGAACCTTCTTCTAGCCTGGACCTACTTGAGCCAACATTGTGTGACGAGGCAATCGGTGACTAGGCATACGTAGTACTTGTCCCAACCATCTCAGTTGATGAAGGTTCATAACCTCGTCAACTGATTTACCTCTACTCCATAAAACTCTACACCTGACTTCTGCATTACTCACGTGGTGACACCACGGAATACGGCGGCCTATACTACGAAGGCAACGGTGGTCAAACAGTTGAAGCCTTCTCACATCTTCCACTTTCAACGGCCATGTTTCACAGCCATACAGTAGAACAGAGTGGACTGCTGTGCAGTACATGCGACCCTTAATAAATAAACGGATCATTTATAGAATTAAGCAAGTTTACCGAGTGAATAAGTTTGTCTTAGAAAGGATAGACAAGTGTAGATAAGTATGCAAGGAAAGAATGGAAATAGGAAGAGGGAAACAGAGTTGAACACTACGTAGACTTTTCTTTAAAGGTAATAAGCATAAACAAAGTCAGGAGGAAAGCAATGGTGTATGTGTGTGCAAATCAAAGACACACAATGAACAGATACATTCAATAGGGAGTTTTCCCTGAATATTCGTATCTTCGCTAGATAAATAAACGCAAAGACGACTGATTCAAATACTACACAAATGGAGAATGAATTTTCATTGGCATTTTCTGGAACAATGTTTTTACAACAATTATAGTAGTGATAATTACAAGACTGTGAGAAGTATTTCAACGGATGAGTGATAGAAGAAGTATACAGAGGAATAACTGAATGATAGAGACAAGTTAGAAAAGAAAAAAACACACGCCAAGCATGAAAATATGAATGAAAGTGAGATAAGCAAAAAATAATCAATGGAAATAGGAGGGTCAGTAAAATGCTACAGTTACTACTTTTCTGAGACTAAATAGAGACATCTTTGTTTGTTTGTTTGTTTATGCTGGCGTTTCTTTGTTTAAACTGTTCTCTGTGGAACAACAGTCCTAGTCAACAGGTAATTCGTATCTATAAACCATAGATTACAGAATTGTGTGTGTGTATGTGTATGATTAATTCGAAGGATTGTAGATAAGAAAATCGAAAGATTATGACGTTGATTACCGACTAACTGGATAACAAAACCAAGTGTTTTCCATAATAACTTGACGTCAACTAAACATGTATTCAGACTCAATCAGGATAGTATGGCTGAAATGAATACCATTTTACCATCGGGTAATAAGTTAAACCCTCAGAAAAGCTAAGAGCGTATTATCAAGGTCATCCTATACTTTTTGAAGATACTGGAAAGTGCTTAGTTTTGCTCTCCATCGTCCACAAAAGTCTGCTGTTTATTTCCTGAAAATAGGGAATGCATGTTGGTATGATACAAGATCGGATTGCTAGTATACACTGGCAACAATAGACAGCCAATCTCATATCAGTGCATATTCCCAAGATAATAGCTTCATTTCCTTGTTATCCACTGATGATTGTAAGTTCTATGCTGAATTCATGTAATTGATATTTTTCAAGACTCAGAATCTCATATACTATGAACCACTTTACGTACTGGGGTCTGGTAAAGCAAGACACAATATAGCCCTTGCATATAACCAATTATGCATACTAAAATTATTGTGGTAAAAACTGAAAACATTTTCTGGTTTTCTTGATTGCATGCAATATGTGAAGTAGGGACTTTAAGAATGCATGACATGAGCTCAGAATGAAACAATCAGTAACATCCACTATGATTTCGCACAGAAAACCGACATATTCAAAACACAATTTATGCTATATTCAACACTTAGAATAGTCTCAAAGCTTTGAACGCAAACACTATGCAATACAAAAATTCCTATTTAGACATTTAGTAAAACAAACAATGTGAGTGAAGAAATATTTCTTTTCAATTAGTTCCTCATCAATGGCTCTACACTAGGGAAACCAGATTGATACGAAGCTCAA